TAAAAAGAAACGATTGGGCAAACGAGGGAAGGAAAATGGAAGCGAATCAGAAGTTTGGGAAATTAAATGTTCAGAATAGCACAATAAAGATGAATCTGAATTTTAATAGCATTTCGATTTAGGGCCTGCATCATCTGCCGTAGAAAAAAATCATCTGCCGTAGAAAAAAATCATCTTACTTAATCAACAGAAAGTGTCACCAGTCAAGTAACTATTATTTAAATAAAATAATGCTAAGTAGCCAAACATCTATCGGACAAAAAGCTGGTCACCAATTTATTTCTTAAATTAAAAAATTAACTCATAATCATAAGTCATTAAGAATACCAATTATCACCATCTAATCAACATCTACCAATTTAGTATAGTAGAATCGAAATTCGTGAAGGAGAGTTGAATGAACCAATGCATACTAATGACCTAAGCAACGATTAAAGCAAAACCGATTTTGCTGGACCAGTTCCTGTATTAAGGATATATGATAGGGAGACAGATAATAGATAGCAAACGTAAAAGATAACATTTTTAAGTTATCAATCAAAAGGATCTAAAGGCTCAATGCAATTAGGAACTGTGTAGCGAGGAAAAACATGAACTAGAGAAATAAAAAATAATTGACTTCTCCAGTGTATATACTTAAAAAGATAAAAACAAGCAAATATAATCAAGAAGAAAGTCAGTCAGGAGAGTTATTCAAGCTCTGACACTCCTTCTGGAGAGGCGTCCAGATAATATAGGAGTAATTATAACTTCAATTATAAGCAAAACCTGTCTCACCTTTGATGGCAAGTTTTATAAAAAGAAGTAGGGATTCGGGAACAAATTCTTATTTGCTTCCCATTTTACCAAATACTTACACAGCGAATTTTGAGAAAAGCTATCTGATAGAAATAGGGATAGATTATACAATTTATTAAACAAAAAAATGATATTAAGCCTACATCGGATATAGAAAAAAAACAAATCATTAGCATATGAGATGTATTCACTCTATTTCGTTTAAAGTCGAAACCCAGTTTTTATTCATATCTTTTAAGGTGGTGAAGGACTGGTAGTAGAAATTTCCCACAACAATACGAGTAGAGCTGAAGTTTCCAATGAATTTCACATAGCCTTGCTTTCCCAAAAGTTGTCCTCATCCAGGACGAACTGCAGTTTCGACCTCGCCTAGGTCTTATCAACATCCTCAGCGAGAGTGGAACCGTGATAGTGCAGCATGTGAGCTTGACACGTTAACCACTGAGCCACATTGCCACGAGTGTTCTTGGAGCACAGAGCAGATGTGAATTTCAAGGAAGGCCAATTCTTTTCCCATATCAAATTTTTTGTGGGATTGTTGATGAAGCAAATGTATTTTCGCTACAACAACCGACTTGAGACTCTGCTTATATACGAAAATCATTAGCAGTTATAGATGATCTGGTAATTAAAGAAGGATTAAAATTGAGTAGAGATCTTTATACACAAGCAGCCTATAGTATTAGTTGCGAATAAAGGGTTAGAAATTTTAAAGTTATAATTATTAGCCCTATGAAGCTGGTATAAAGCTGATAGATGGGAAGCATTTGGATGAATCAGATAAACTCAGCAATTTATAAAAAAATAATATTAACACATTAGGTTTGATCAAGAAAAAATTAAGTTTATAGTAAATACAATTGAGAATGGTGACTATTGAAAGCGAAATACAGTACATATTTTTTATTAATAAAATGGAGATTCCCAAAATAAACGTTGGCAACTTCTTCGTTCAAGCCTTTCTTTAAAAAGAAATAAGACATTTAATCCAAGGCCGCTGCCAAATAATGTGATAATAAGGAAATAACGTTGAAGAGAAGGGTCGCCACATTCGCCCAAAACTAGCGGAAAACAAAAAATTCACATTGCCGAAACTGTCGCAAAATGCAAAATTGGAGAGGCCATCACAATCAACACCTTAAGCTGTATGTCCGAGGGAACTCAAGCATGATCTGTTATGTGCTAAAGAGGACGAAGCAGTGATTATGACAAAGTTAGTCGCGAATACGTGTGATATGCCAGTACTTGTATGCGCATGTCCATGTGCAGTAGACAAGCGGCACCTACCCGAATCGGTTATATTGAGGCTGGTAGTCACCGGTGCCGACGCCGGAGAGATCTGTGACGTGACCAGTGGTACTTGTGATGGTGCGATCAAGAACAGTCCCCATCGTGATGTTGTGTAGCCGGGCGGAGCGCCCAGAAATTGGCCCTATGTGGCTTCAAAAATAACGTAAGCGATAAATTTCAGAGGGATAGGGGAGTATAAGTATCCTAAGAGGAAAAGGTAAGTTGAAAAGATTGAAAATATAATGCAACTGCTGATGAATGGGTGCATGGATTCTTCTGTGTAGAAGAAGAATACGGACGATGGAAAAATTAGTACTAAACCATTCAGAGTCTATATTGGGTAGTCAGATGATGTTGAGATGGTGGTTATTCGATTATTGAGGAAAAAACATAAGAATGTTGTCGAGCTAAGCTAAAGATTCTAGAAAGCCGACAGCAAACTAGTAAACCCATTGCATTAATTGCTAATTGAAAAGCCCTTTAAGCGAAGATAATTTGGGTTTCAATAAATCTCTTGGTTCATCATTGTTTGTAAATCTCTATATTGGAAAGGCTTTTATTTCGTATGAAGAGATTTGAGGGTTGATCTTGTCCGAAGAGGACGGCTGATTTCCATTGTACTGCAGTTGTTTGGCTTAAATATGAAGTTCAGGTTGACGCAGTCCACAAGACATCCTCCCTTGTCACAAATGAAAACGGGCCATCATATGATGTACATTACCAGAGCTAGAATTCATCCTTGTAAAAGTCTCACATTAATGCTAGGTCGAGACGGTCATCAGAAAATGAATAGGAACAGATAGTTATAGAATGGTTTGACTAATTATCTTTCGTATAGGACCTGCTACTTTTGATCTTTTGTGTGTGTGTGT